CTACCACTGAGTGTATTAAGGGTAAAGAAATGGTACCCATCTCAAACATTTGCAAGCATGCTTTAACATGCAACCCCTTCAATGCTAATGCAAATGAAAGCAATGAGGAGGAGTTTAGCCCTGTTGACAAGTCTTTGAATTTATATGAGCGAATTTGAGGGTCCATCAACAAGTGTCATGAGCATGACAGACCGAGGAACAAATTGTAATGTTGCTCTCCTGAAGAGGTTCATGTACTGCCTGATGATGAAGCAGGCCCTTCAAAGTCAACCTGGTCTACAGAGCTGAAAGTAATATTTCCTGATGTTGAGAAAAACAAATTGGATGATGCAGCTTCACTGTCAGCATCAGTGGATGAAGCAGCTTGTTTTATACTAGAAAACAACTGTATTGTTGAATCAGTGGAAGATGTTGACTTGTTTATTAAGAAGAACACTCCAGAACAATCTGATGATGATGAATATCTGATGATTGATAGAGAGTCAGTCTGGATAGATATCATAAGATTTTATAAGAAAACAATGGCAAAGCCTGATATCCCAAACATGAGGATGGCTTGGATGGTAGAGCTATGAAAGTAGAATTTTTCTCCGTGAAGTTAAGCAGAGGGTTTTTGAGGGAAAGGAAGAAAATGTTATACCAATCAAATATGTTACAAATAAAGTTCTATTCCAACTAGCTGGAGCAATTATCAGTCATTCTGTTTACCATAAAGCTTCCTGCGGTTTCCCTGTTATTGTGCCATATGTCTATGAGTACATTGTTGGTTCACCAGAAGAAAAGGTTGAGCTTCTCATGAAGGATCTTATCCCATTAGATGCAAGTACATCTTTGCTACATGTTCTACTCAATGGCCTGGAATCTTGTAAAACTGATGAAGATATTGATGCCCTTTTAGAATGAAAAAACTCTTGTGAAGCATTCTGGCAGTTAATTAACTCCTCCAGGTGGCCTAAAGAAGAAGCTGTAAATATCAAAAACAAAGTTTATCTCCTTCAGCACTTGTGATGCAACATGAATTGCTTGTGTCAAGAAGAAATGAAATCGATGATTTCAAAATGGGTCTGAAATCGCTAGGATTTCTTGATCTTGTATCAGAGAATAAAGCAGTTCGTGAAGTCTTGTTCTGTGTGACTAAAAAAAGCAGCTGGATTCCCAAAGTTTCAAAGATATGATGTTGGATTTCAAACCTTCAGAGGAACAGTCCTACAAGTGGTTACTGGAATGTTAATCAAGGAGAAGTTATGTTTCTCACTAGTATCTCATAACCTGATTGACCATCCGTAACATCCTGCACACCTCTATTGCCCTGCCATTCCTTAAGTTTTTCTGTTGCCCATTTCGTCTGGTATCTGGTTGATGCTGGTATCGCGTGCTCAATAAATCTATTTTCTTCCGTTTCTGTCCTTCCAAGCCTAAAACATCTTGCTCCTTTCTCGTTCATTATACCGAGCAACTGCCAGAGTCGAAAATTCGAAATTCCATCTTATATGCTTTTTGAACATTACTCAACCAAGCGTCACATTTGAATTCATTTGAGAAGATACTTCAACAACTCGAGCTTGTGTCCCTCCGGGACATCCAAACACTCGAAAACAATGCGTTTTCACGCATTGTTTTCTCGTGTTTGGATATCCGGGTGAAACACTCGCTCTCGTTGTTCAAATATTACGTGAAAATTTTTTCAGATTTGTGTATGAAAAGTTATTAATATAATGCAACTTTGCATAACACATCATAAAAATAATTTTGAATTAAGAGATACTTCAAGCCATAACCCATTAAGCAGCAGTGCTTTCCACATGACAGGTCAAATCAACTGGCATGAGACTAAATAAATTACTGTAGGGTGCATCTGTTCACATTGCTGCATTCTTTAGCAGGCTGCTAAAAAATAGGTTAATAGTCTGGGTTATATCCAATAAACTCATTTAACACCACACTGAACAACAAAACCGGCTATTAATTAGGGGGGGGGCTGGGACAAACGAAATATACTATGCTCAATTTTTCCTGACGACCCCCACAGTGATGCACAATTTTTAATGACACCCACCCTGTGTAAAAGTTCATTCAGTACACATACCTATATTTCAAATTGTATTGCCCTCCCTGATTTAGTGTGAATAGGTAAAGTTTTTGGACATTTTGAAATATCACCACCTTCATCATCATTGTCAGAACCAAACAGTCTAATCTCCTCAACAAAGTTTGCATGATTTTACTTGACCTGCCACCCCCTTTTTTTCTTTGCATGAAAATTAGTGACCGTCCCCCTTTTTCCACTGGCCATCTCCCTCCTCTAATTAATGACCGGTCCTAAACTACATTCCCCCCCCCAATGTTTGCTTGCATATACTTCTAAACATATTGTTCCACAACTTGAACTGTTTTAATATACAGGGTGTCCCAAAAAAAACGAAAACTATTGAAATAACTCATTGTTAAAATTTGAATGCCGTGTTCACGAATTTCAGCCCGTGGGGATTTAATGCAACTTATAAAATGCTAAATGCTTTGTGTTGCTGGAGAAAGGGGACATGTCGAAGGTCATGGTCCTTGAGATGCACATTTAAATATTGTTATCCATATTTGTAAATTGTAAATATTGATAATAAATATCATTTTTGCGAACAAGCAAATTTGACTGCATCATATGCATGCATAAAAATGCTTATGGCAACCCCGATTTATACACTTGTGGGCCCAACAGAGTGCTGAGTCATTCAAACTCTAACAATGGCATTGTTATGGGTCATTTCAATAGTTTTCGTTTTTTTTTGGGACACCCTGTATATGTCCATCCCATGACATGATGATTCACCTAATGGGTTTATCTGGAAAAAAAGCTGCTCAAGCTGCACTTCACTTAAAGGGCATGGGATCTCAGGGACTTCCACTGCATTCTCTCTCCAGGTGTCTCCAATATATCTTTCAGATGGGAGAGGTCCATCAAAATCAATAGCATAAGCATTCACACTTGTTAAGTCTAAGTCCTCCAATACATATGCATTGTGGGAAGAGTAAGACCACTAATCCACAGTTGCACAGGTGTCATATTTGACTAAGTTCTTATGGAATGATTGTCATATCCTTGTTGAAAAAGTTCTAAATGCCTGTTGATTTATGGCAAAAAGATGAAGTGAAGGCAAAATAATTGAATTTCATTACTTATATCCAGTAACCCATTTTCTTCTAAGTAACAGAATATGTGATAAAAAATGAAAATGCACCCATGAAATAGGTCTCTCCAGAAATGTTCAATTCTTTGATTGTGGCAGCTTTTCCCTCCAATATAGCTGCCTCTCTCTGGACCTCTAGCTGGATTTTAAAACATGTACCAAGCCACATCTACATTTTTAACACCTTACCTTGATCCCCTCTAACCCTATGAGAAGACCAAATGTTTCAACAGCATGCACAAAATGGTTGTTGTTGTGGCTAATGCCACAACAATTAGCTATGTAATTATATATTTGATTTATGCAAGTGGGTGTTCACCTACGCGTGAAAACCCCTTAGCCGAGCGGGTCAAACTCAAAACCTCAGTTAGTAAGCAAGAGGTGAGGCAAAAAGTAAGCAAGTAAGAAGCAAGGAAATGTGAAACAACACTTGCACACAATATGCATGTTTAACAAAGTTTAAATCTATCCTGCACAAATTGGTGAGGCAATAATAGTACTTATGATTGTATATTTTGTATATTGTATTTTAATTGAGTGTGTGTTCGGGCTTGTAGGAGTTTTACCGGCGAACCTCAAGGCCGTGTTGAAACCGATGTGCAATAAATAGTCAAAGGGGAAATAAAGAACTTTGTACAACCAGTACGACTGTAAAACTCCAATTTCTTCGGGGTTTGAAGCATTTAAAGTAAAATGGCAATGCCCGTTAGTAACGCTTCAGGGGTTTGAAGCATTTAAAGTAAAATGGCAACGCCCGTTAGTAACGCTTCAGAAGACAACACTTCGCGGCTCAACAATTCACGTCGGGGTTATTTGTCCTCACTCACCAGGCTGTTCAATCAAATTGATCCACTTTTGAACGATTATTCACATGTTGTTCTTGTGAAGGATCTCCGGTCTAGGTTACAAACTGCTTGGGCGCTTCATCAAACGTGTTGCTCGAATAATACAGATGAGAATTTGCTAACATTTCAAGTAACGCAAGAGCAACTTGCGGAACAAAGCTGTAAAAAACAAGATTACGATGAGCTATTTATACTATAACAATCAAGGTGTAGAAGGGTTTGCACAGTCGTTAAACAAAACTCCCACGGGATCTGTAAGGTCGTCAAATGCTAGAAGTTCGAGAGTTAGTAATCTTAGTCACGCCAGTCAACGATTGAGAGAAAGCAGAGACGCCGCAACGAAGGCAGCGGATTGTCCATAAGCATGCTGAAAACAAGAAAAGATGTTAAATCGAACTTGAGGTAAAGAAAATGGAATTGGAAATCAAACAAAAGGAGTTTCAATTTCGACAACGCTATGAGCTGGCCCAAATCGAAATCACTGATAAAGTCCAAAGAACGAAGGATAATGCTGAGCTGGCAAATTTTGAGGCTGAAATGGTGAAGCAAGAGTTTAAAGAATTGATAAAGGGAGAAGATTGGGCACAGGGAGATATGGTTGCAAAGGAAGCGAAAGAAGCGACAATACAAATTCAACAACAACACCAGACTACTGAAAGCCCACAATGCAGTTTAAGCTCTATTCAAGCATCTGCTTTCAAACCTGTGCCGAAAACGACAAACCTCTCCGCCACAACAAAGGTGTATCTCGATTGCCCAACCAATTCAACCACTGACCAATTTACCTGCCGATTCAACCAGTACTTCTACACTCCTGAATACCCTCTTCAGCACCATGGAGAAGATTGGCTTTTCCCACGATCTTCCGGCAATCGAAGTACGAAAGTTTGATAGGTCACCTCAACATTTTCCTGTTTTTCGTCACCGTTTTGAGCAGATGATAAATTCTAAACCTGTTGATGAATTGGTGAAAATGTCTCGCTTACTCCAACTTCTTGAAGGTCCACCGTTAGAGGCTGTGAGAAGATATGAGGCTGTTACTGGAGGTCTTACCAAAGCACTCAAGCTGCTCGAGGATCGCTACAGCCAACCTTGCCAAATTGTTCGGGCTTGTGTGGATACACTCACAAAGAGCCCAAACATAGCCTTGAATAACAACGAGATGCTGGAGAAGTTTGCAGATGAAACACAGGTTATGTTTGACACGTTGAAATCGTTGGATTGCCTTGGTAAAATGAATGTTGATAACCTGGAGAAGATGATTTTGCGTTTACTGAAATGGATGCAGTCGAAGTTTGCAGAACATCTAAGGAAGAGTGAGCAATGTGGCCGAGTGATGCCCACATTTAAAGATGTCGTTGATTTCCTGAGAGAGAGAGCAAGCGTGGCCAATCACCAATTCTTTAGTTATTCGTCGATGGGAGGTAAGGCTGAAGGTGTTCCTAGCAGTGGGGGAAAACAACATGTAAAGGGACAAACTATTTTGACCATGAACGCCAATTCGAAACCACCTGGGAATGAAGTTGCAACGTGCCCCACGTGTGCCAAACCACACCCGTTGTACCGATGCCAGTTGTTCCGAGCTAAAACGGCGGAAGAGCCAGGTGATTTTGTAAAAAGAAGTGGAATTTGTTTTAATTGCATAAACTCAACCAGTCACATCTCCCGTTCATGCAAGTCTAAATTTCAATGTCAAGTTCCAGAATCCGGCAAGACCCATCATATGTTGCTTCATAGATCAACTCCCCCCTTACTAAAGCTGCTTGCACCACAGAAATTGGCACAAGTACGCGAGACCTCGCACCTACATCGCATCCGGAATCGGAGGCTTTAACATCACATGGAAAGTTCGACAGACGTCTTACTGCAAGTAATTCCAATAAGAATTGTCAACCCTGATGGTAAGACTGTTATTACCTATGGATTAATCGACTCAGGATCCGATGTCACCTTAATTGATCAGTCACTCGTCCAACAACTTCAATTCAAAGGAGCACCCGACCGGCTTTATTTTCCCACAATCAATCTAAGCAACATTTAAGAGGCAGCTGTTAAGGTCAACTTTAAGATGGATGCATTGGACGGTGATGGTGATCTTATTGTAGTAAAGAATGTGTAGTCTATCAAGGATCTTGATATTTCTTTGAAACACCAGGTTATCTATCGGAACATTGGTCAGTGGCCACACCTGAAACATGTAGCATTTCCCAAAGTTCAACATAATAAAATATCTGTTCTCATTGGAACTGATGTTCAAGAAGCCTTCATCCCACTGGAAGTTAGAAAGAGTATGCCAAGTGAGCCTCTGGCTATATGATCGTTTTTGGGTTGGAGCATCCTTGGTAACTGTAGCAAGGTGGCTAGCAACTCCAGTTGACAAAGTTTCCTCATTAATCATACCCACTCAAGAGATTTCTTTTGAAAGTCAGTTTTTTTGAAATTTTGGTCAGAAATTTTGGCATGTTAAATCTTATGGCGTTAACCCACGCGAGCAACCAGCAATGTCTGTAGCAGATCGACATGCGATGAAGATAATAGAGAATACAATCTGCAAGTCCAATGGACATTATCAAATGGGTTTATTGTGGAAAGAAGATAATCCATGTGTGCCATTTAACCGACCCTTGGCTGAAGCATGCCTAAATCACATAAAGAAGCGTCTACTCGGAGATCCACAATTAAAGGCTCAAATACAGAGCAATAATAGATGATTACTTTGATCATTCATATGCTAGAAAGTTAAGTCAAGAAGAAGCTAATTCAAGAAGTAATGTTACATGGTATCTTTCACACCATTGGTCACATGCTCACAGTCTCACAAACAAATAATGGCATATTTCAATGATGACTCAGAGGTGAATTGTTATATTAAGGCATTTTGTTGAAAAAAATATAATTCAATTGTACTACTCTAGTATTTATCCATTTCTGATCTACAGGGTGATTGTCTTGGGCAATATGTACAAATCCAATCTATTTACTCTGCAGAAAAAAGCTGTGCGCATAATAACCTTTTCCAGTTTTTAAAGAGACAGATCATGGCATGTCGAAAAGCTAATGGAGGTGCGAATATAGAAACAGACAAGAAATTCCAAAAGACTGGAAAAAACAATCATTGCAAGTCCATAAGGACCCTTTGAGCATAAGACCATGAGGACCTAGGACCAGGAGGACCCTATGTACATAGGACCACAGGGATCATACTAAAATTTTAAATCTAATTGAAAATTTTGAAAGGACATGAGTCACATGACGCCATTATTTCATCCTTCCATTAGTTTCGAACCTTGCTGCAATTAATTCGAAATAAATTTGATTCAACTCATAGCCCCAGAAGTAAACAAATGGTTAGAGTTGGTGTTGAAATATGTCGAAAACGTCGTGGTTAAAAATTTTGAACGACTGTGTCATGCTCTAGCTGTCATGTATGCAATAGGCAATACACATTCTATTTCACTTGAACATGTGGCTCATTGTTGGATTTACGTGCAGTTTAGCTGTAGCACTAATATAGTGCTAGATTAACTACATAGGAAATGGAATGTGAAAGAATAAAAATTGGTAACAAAGCTCAGCATTTGTGCTAATTTATTAGAAACCTATTTTTATACTTATGAATATTAATAAGTTTAGTTACTAGGCCTTCAGCTGAACTCGGTATTTAAGGACGCCATATTGTTATTTATTTAGTGTAGTGTAAAGCCGTCGGAACGAGGTTTAAAATCCAAGCGCTACAACTACCGGAAACATCCCGTTCGAAGGCCACATTCGCCCGTAGCAGCAAAAAAGTAGGGGATGTCGACCAAACAGTAACAAATCAGATATACCCTAAGGTAGGCGGCCATTTATGCCAATTTTATGATGTGTGTGTGGAAGTGTTTAACAAATGACACCTGGATTTTACAGGCCATTCATGGCTATAAAATTGAGTTCACGACTGAACCCGTTCAGCGGAAAATCCCTGGAAGAAGGTTTTTCCTTGGTTGAGAAAAATTCAATTGATATTGAAATTCAAAAGTTATTAGACAAAGGAGCAATCCGACACACTTCATTTCATCCAAAGCAGTTTCTGTCAAACTTGTTTGTAATTCCCAAGAAGAGTGGCAAGCTTCGCCCTGTTATTAGTTTAAAGCCACTGAATGAGTTAAAAGTTTTAAAATGGAAAGTCTACATCATATGGTAGATTTATTGTCAGTTGGTCAGTATATGACCAGTAAGGGTATTTCTATAGTGATTTACCTAGACGATTTGGCTATATTAAGTCCTTCACATGATAAGGCAATAGAAGGAAGTACAGACTGCGATACGGACCCGAGAATCTCTGGGTTTCCTTATAAATTGTGAAAAGTCTAGTCTCGTTCCTTCCCACATTATTCAATATCTTGGGTTTAAAACTCTGTGACTATGATGTTGTTATTTCTCCCAGAAGAAAAACTGGGAAATTTGATAATAGAGGTCTCTCAGTTATACAATAGCAATACTTGTTCAATTAGACAACTAGCTAGCGTTATTGGTTTATTTGTGTCCACTTTTCCGGCAATTAAACCTGCCAGTATTATCGAAATTTGGAGGCTATTAAAATTGAAGCCTTGCGTAAACACAGTGGGGAATATGACACTGTTGTTCCATTGTCATCTTTCGCGAAACAGGACCTTTCTTGGTTTGTCAATAAAGGCTGTTTATACAATGGCACTAAACTTATTAAACCTACTAAAGTGATAACGCTAACAACAGATGCCTCATTATCTGGTTGGGGTGTCGTACCTGATGTTGGAGTTACCAATGGGATATGGTCCTAGGAGGAGAAAGCCCAACATATTAATTGGTTACAGCTTACCGCAATCTGGCTAGGTGTGCAATCCTTTGTCCTAACTTCCTATTGTTTTGTGATAATGGGTCAGCCGTAGCTTACATTGATAACATGGGTGGTTCGTGCCCAAATTTGCACTCAGTTGCATCCCAAATTTGGCAATGGTGCATTGATCGCATCTTTAAACAACTTAGCATCAAATGTGGTATAACAACTGCCTAAAATATACCAAACACTTCTCAACGTTTCGACCTGAGGGCCTTCATCAGGACAGTTAGTATGAAACTAAATGGGGCAGAATAATTTTTGTATGGGGGCAAAACATGTGATAAAAATGGACCAATAGAAACAAAAAATCAAAACAAATTGGAATACACTACGTTGCCAAAGAGATGCCTGGTTGTGGGCTAAGAATAGCCCACAATGAGGGAAGCCTGATCAGCAACGAAAATGTGCCAGCTTTGATGTAAACAAGGAAATGGTAGTCTTACTCTGGGTGAAATAGCTTAAATGAAAGAGTTTTTCATTTCATCCCTTGTGGCATTGGTCAATGTAAAACATGCTCATTTACCGATTCTGGCACTGTTATTTCAGCTCCCAATTCACAGTTTTTCATCAGGCACCCATTTCACATGCCTCTCCTCCAACCTCATTTATTGCATCTCATGCAACAAATGTGCTTTACTATATATCGGCAAAACTGGAAGATCCCTAAGGGTAAGGTTTGGTGAACATTATAGGTCGGTTAACAACCACGATAACACCAACGGACATGAAAATTAGAGCCCTCTGTCTCATTTCCGGTACTAACGATAGCTGTAAACGACAAGAAATGTGACTCATCCACAGTCTTGGCACTCTCCATCCCTCTGGCATAAATGAAAGACTCTCATTTAAGCTACTTCACCCAGAGTAATATGACTACCATTTCTTTGTTTACATTAAAGCTGGTTGTGATACATTTTTGTCGCTGATCAGACTTCCCTCATTGCGGGCTATTCTTAGCCCACAATCAGGTGTCTCTTTGGCAACATAGTGTATTCCAATTTGTTTTGATTTTTTGTTTTCCATTGGCCCATTTATCATGTGTTTTGGCCCGTACAAAACATGTATTCTCCCCTATTTATTTTCATTCTAACTCTCAGTGATTGGAATTTTAGCGTGGACTAACACCTGTATTCTAAATGGTCACTCACCACTCAGTGAGTGCATAGATGCTAAGTTTGGCGATTAGCAACGCGTGAGATATACCACACAGCGGCCAATGTAAGGGGGTCCGGGGGCATGCTCCCCCTGAAAATTTTTGAAATTTTGGTCTCTGAAATGGCATGTCCAGCATTCTGAGGACATATTTAAAAAAATTTAGAGAGAAAGCTCGGTCACTATTGACTAGATATAAGTCACCAACAGGCCATTAAAATCCGAATTAACAGGGTGAGATCAAGCGGGAAGGAGGTAAAAAGACCCTGGGTACGAGGTTGATTTTACCGCTTAGGTCTTAACACCTTGCTGGTATTAAAACACATTAAACGTCATGAAACAGAACGCCTCTTTTTTAACCAAAATGTAATTTAATTGAAGGGAACAACACACTATATAATATATTTTAACTATTATATAGACTAATCTATGTGATCTAGCATTAATTAGTTAAAGTTCATCATGCATCGGTCAAGTGAATTTTATTTGTTCAAGTGTTCTTTGTTACAATTCCAAGTGGCAGATTTAGCTGTCTTCAGAAGATCTTTCGTTGGCTCAAATTGATGGGCTGGCACGTCATTAGCAAGTTTTACAGTCAAAATGCTTGATAATGTTCCCCTGGGATCTAGATTAGGCCGGAACGCTGTTTTGTTCTTACGAACCATAGAGAAAATACGCTCTTCTTGGGCGTTAGAATGTGGGATTAAGAGAACCAGCGTAGCTATCCTGGAAAGTCTCAAAAAGCGAGTGGAATGATCTGGGGCCTTCAGCGATGAAAGGTTATGCCAAATGATATCCATCCTGTAATAAAATTAGTCGTTTTCGCTATCAACTTTAACTGTAGCTTTATCCCAAATTGGTTTGGGTATATCTTCATCACGGAGCAGTT